AGGTCGGACAATAATCAACTCGAAATGAAAAAATTGAATCAAATTGAATCAAATTGAATCAAAATTTTCTAGCCCACTCTCGTCTCCTTCTTTCTTTCCTTTTTCTTGAAGGCGATGATATCCAGAGTGTGGGTTACTATCTTTGGTGAACTTTCGTAATTCGATTCTGCGGGCAGTGCAAAACTTTGTCGTGAATCATTTCGCTGGTCAGTCTCTGCGTGGGTGATACTCGACTAGTTAATACAAACTCGTTACGTCATATCCAGCAAAAAATATTTTATGTATCCTACGGTATATAATGTCTGGACTTTATTATTATGCTTATTGCTATATATGACGTACGTCATTGAGAATTTTTATTATATCAGTTACATGCATGTAAAACGATAGTAATTGCGGAGCAATTAATTATCCATTTAATCATTTTGTTAATTATATGCGTTAGTAATCAATTACTTATTTAGTTAATGATATACTCTATCTCATCTGTTTTGTTCAATGGGAGAATTGTGAACCGTATTGTTCCTCTCGTAATTATATCATACAACCATTTTAGGTTAATAGCATCCTTAATAGAGTCATAATTTAACGTATAAAATATTTCAATCGTAATACAGATATATAATTTATGTTAATTTATACAATAAATTTCTGAGTAATTTAATGCATAATGTCACAATGTAAATATCGCAATATAGATATCATAGTAATTTAATTAAGAACAGTTGTCCCTCTATGTGCATTTGGTATGCATATATATTTTTTTATACTTTAATAAATATAATTCTACTTCTTAATTTTCATGTATAGGATAATCTATATAAAATGTTATTATACAGTTAACACATAGTTAATATATAATTATTTTTTATCAAATGATGAAGATAAAAGTATCAATCTTTTTCCATATATCACATTTAACACAATTTAATTTTAAAATACAGCAAGAAAGTAAAAGAAAGTATTTATCTTAGTCTTAATAATTTCTGAAAAGATAATTTAAAAAAATATTTTATCTGTTAGAATATTATTTTATCTGTGAAATTTTATTTTATTTTATCTGTGAATATTAACTCTTTAATATAACATTATTATTATAAATGTATTTCTCTTTCTCGAAAATATTGTCCAAATCTTTTGAAATTTAATTTTAAGAAGAATAAATTTTTTTATCTGATGACTTATTTCTTCTTGTTAAAAAAGCTATATATATGTAATTAACATTTCGTAACTGAAAAGAAGATACTAGAAGAATTATTAATACGTCGCCAGAATCATTTTGGAATTTTCACTTTTGTATGTTAAAACGAAAGAAGTATTTCTCGTCTTGGCGAACTTTGTTAAGAGAAATCGATAATATGTTGCTCTGTGCAAGAAAATATTCGTTGAATTATTAATACAAAAATTCTCATGAATATGCAAATCTCGCGCTCTACAAGCTTATTGGTCCAACTCTTGGCGGACATAAGAAAAACGATATCAAGAGAAAACTAAAACTCTTACGGTCTTTATTTATTTGGTGGAAAAATCGAATAGCACGATCGTGTTATTATCATATTGGCTGTGCCGTTAGTTTCGCCATTTTGCTTCGGAAATTCAATCTTTATCCTCTGTTGATCTATTCATGAAATAAAAGATAATCGCAGAACGCAACGATCAAGTAAAAAATACATTGGTATAATCAATTTTTAAAAGCGTTGGCGAGCGTTCTGTCAATAATTTATCTGCAAAATTTATTTGCAAAATTTATCTGCAAAAAATTACATGAAGTATTGTCGAAAATAAAACAAAACGATATGGAGGATTATATATAACAAGATTATATTCTCTTAAACGAATTAACTCAGCCATGAATATGTGGCCTGCCAGTGTATTGAATATGTAGCACAATACGATATGAAAATTATGTTCAGATAATTCGGATGTTAATGATACGGTCGCCGACAATGGACGTAGGAGTCCGATATAGAACTTCCTATAATCGAGCGCTATCTCGAAACGTTGAGCATTCTGAAAATGTTAATAGACGCGTGCATATATACGCTTTTACTGTAAATCCGTAAATCGATGCGTTATATATGGGCACCGCATCATCGCATTAAATAGACGAGAACAGATGAGATAAAATTCGCACTAATAGCTCGGCGCCGGTAATCATTAATTTCAAATCGCATTCAATTATAATTATCGTGCAATGACTATGCGCATTCTTGTGGAAACGTGCCATATGCAATGCGTGATTATTTCAATTGACGATTCAACAACGTTTTCCTTCTATCTATTAATACATTTGCATATTACACGATACACACACACACACACACACACACACACGCGCGCGCGCGCGCGCATCTGCTATAATATTAACAATCGAGTTAAAAGATTATTTGATGATCGCGCTTTCCATCTCACGAGCTGCACTATATCGACCATACTTAAGCTTAACAAGTGCATTTATGTTCTTTATATTTTTTAAATTCAATACAAAATCATACAAATGACATAATCAATTCGTTCCTCCACGATATAATTATGAAATGTGTAATGCAAATAAACGGTACAGTTAGAAAACGGCGATAAAAACTTTTTTGCTCAATAGTTAATGCATATTTTTTATCGCAATTTATTCGAATCGAATTTTTGCTGAAAAGTAAAAAAGTAGAAAGGTATTATATTGTAAAAATTTTATTGGAGAATTATAAAATATTGGGGATGCGTGAGATTTATAAAAAGGACGTGCACGTTACTCTGGCTTTCGAGTAAAAACAAGGTTTGATCGAATTTAAAATGGTGTATAAGTTAAGGAAGCGCGGAAGTTACGGATTTAACATCGACTATCATCGCGAGTGTGGACGTAACTCGTCGACCAAGATCACAAATCAGTCAGAAGCGAACGGGACATAGCATAAACTAAAGCAAGCATGCTCGTAAATTCACCGAAATGGAGAACTCCCCGCTTTTAGACCCGGGCATGACGCGTTCAACATTCGGATTGTGCCGGATGCGAAACGGCGAGCGTTTAACGAGTGTCCAAGCATTGATTTTCGGTAACGAGCAACAAGAGCGAGCTGGTATTTCGCAACGAGTTCGGGCAAAATGAAAGGCGCGCAAAATGCGCGTGGTCCATTGATGGATTCGAGTCTGCTACATTTTTCAGAGAAATTTATTTGCACGGAATCGATTTCAATAATGCTTTCTCTAATACCTTATTCCAAACTATCATATCTTTCAACAAATGCATTTTTGTTTATTTGCAATGTTCCATTAAAATAAAAAAAAAAAAAAAAACACACAACATACACACAGTGAAAAACATATGTAAAAAGACAATCATAATAATTGATCTCTCGTAGTCTTAGCAAGTACAAATTTCAAACGTTTAATTTTAATCATCTGTAAAAACAGAACGCCAAAATTTTTCACTTTCTGCTAAATTATTCCTTCTCGAGTTATTTTTCTGATGCGTGGAATTAGAACACGTGCAAGTGCGTGTTCTCCGCACCGTGAGGTATGTCCAATTGTTATGAAATATGCGGCTGGCGCGTTACGTGCAACGTCAGTCGCTGCGGCAGAGCTCGATCCAATTGAAAATTTATCCGAGCCGCCTAATCCACTCGCGAACCGGCTACCGATTATACGTCGAATTTCAGCGGCGGATCGCTCGCAATCTATCGAATTCCACGCGTGCACGTCGTTATTAACGTACCGAGTGAGTACGTGAGAGCGCAACACGCACGGCTGTCAGGCTCCTCTCGAAAAGGAGCAGCCGATCGATCGACGACGACGACGACGACGACGACGATGACGATGAGTCTTACGATGGGGAATATAGCTGAAAGTGAATAGACTACCTCCCACAATGCCCTATTGAACTATACGGCGAAATAAATCTCATATCGCTAATCAGACAACTTCGCGGAAACGGATATATTTTTTTATCTCTTTTATCGGCGTTTATTCGAGTTCTCTTAAAAAATACGCGCATTTATAGCATTCTTTTATAGTATATCGAGATATTTTATTTAATAGATACTGTAAATTATTCTCTTTGAGATAATTTACATATTGTTATTTTTTTTTATTACTTTTAATTTATTTATTTAATGATTTGTATGTTGAAATAAAAATTTAAGCTTTTTTATATTAGAATTGTTAAAATTGTATTGTCTATGATCTCGTTTTAGCTTTTTAGGAATTTTTTTTAGGAATTTTTATAATTTTTTGTAATTCTACTCTCGGCTCTTTAATGTATAATTCTATCTTTTTTCTTTCGTATATATTCATTTTAGTTATATACGCTTTATCATTTGCTCAATAAATTAAATCATACATTTCTATAAAATGAATCTACAATGAAACAATAAAAAACTTTTATATACTAGTAAAATATGAAAAATATATTTACAGTAAAATTAAATTTATGATTATTTAAAATATTCTTGTCAAACATTGTCATTTATCGACGTTAATTAAAATCATAATTTTAATATTACGGTACATTTATTACTTATGTATAGAATTGCAATAAATAATCTTGTTTTTTTAATGTAATATTATATTAAACAAAGCTTTACCTTCGAAATTGCATTTTTTATTTGTATAATTATAGTCTCCTGATACTTTGACAATTCTTAAAAATTTATGTTTCTAGCTACTTGAATATTTAAGATCAAAATTTTATACTTTAAATTAATTTTCTCAAAATTTTTTTATTATTGCTATTTCTTATTTTATATTCCTTAGTATTTCGCCGATTTTTTTATTTTGTCGGTAATCATAAATGATGCTATCAATGACAATCAACGCAATTAAAAGTACGATATTTTGTACATGCATGCATTTGTTGATTTCGAAATTAATTGCCATTTTTTTAAATTTGGAAGTTATATTTATCACAATAAATACCGCAATAAAAACATAAGTAAAACAAAATTAAAATATAAACCGCTATATTAGCAACGAAACTGTTTGAAGCTACACTTTCTGTGCGATATAATGTTATACAATCACCACTGTAGATGGCAGTACTGCATTATTCGCATTAGGTAGTGTGTCGAGGTATACCGGATCTCATATTGCAATATGAGAATTTAAACTGAGTTATATTTTTTTCAATTGTATGTATAATTTATAGATCTTAATATTAAATGTTAAATGCGTTAGAACATGTCTTAATTAATATTGGATACTTGTACGCGAAATAAATGTTAGTCAAGTTTTGACTATTAACTTAACCTCAAAATCAAATTTAGAAAATACTTCTCGAATAAAAACTTGGAGTTGCTTTTCCAAAATTTGTAAAAAGATTGTCTATTTATTCCACTTATATTTATAAATGACTTTTTTATGTATTTGAGTTTGTTATTGAAATCTTAACATTATTTAAAAATATTGTATCTGTTTTTCCAAAATTTGTAAATAGAAAAAATATTTTTTAATACTTTTTAAATAATTTTTAAATAATAGGGTTTTCTGTTTGATAGACTGACGCTAATAACAACCAGAGAAGAAACAGATTTGGATTCTAATTGACGCTGGTGTGTGGAAATGGGACCTGGTGAATGATCTATACTGAATATTTTATATGATATTCTTCGACATAATCAAATTAATTACTTTGCCTACAGATAAGCGACTTCAGCAAAATGAAACTATGCCAAAAGTTGACATATTAAAAGATGTGGGAAGACTTAAGTCCACAGATGTAGTTTATATGAAACGCTTAGAAGAACAAAACTTACAAAGAGCGAAAAAAGTACAAGTGTATCGCAAAGCTAATAATCGTACTGCTTTTGCTTTGACTCTTGGAGTCATTGGAATTTACGCTTATACAATATATTCAGTTAAACAGGAAAAGTTTCTGGATGATTTTGATGTACCAGAAAAAACGATTGAGAAGGCTGTTTGAAAAATTATCTTGTTTAGAAATGTAAATAAAGAATCTTACAGCTTGTTGTGTTAAATTTGTATTTTTTTGCTTATAATAGAATAGAAAGCTGATAAAGTGATATCTTTTTTCTTCTTGGAGATCATCTGTGTAAATCATTCATTAATACAAGATAATAATATAAGATTAACATATAAAGATGTCTGCTCCAAGGTTGCCACCACTTCCAACCGTGCGAGATATATTGAAGCTATACCGTTTAAATGCCATAAAGCATTTGTCTCAAAATTTTCTCATGGATCATACATTTATTGATAAGATTATAGCTAAAGCAGGAAATCTCGCCGGAAGTCAAGTACTGGAGGTCGGTCCTGGTCCAGGTGGATTAACTCGAGCTATTTTGAGAAGAGTCCCTGAACGATTGATAGTTGTAGAAAAAGATCAGAGATTTAAACCAACTTTAAACATGTTAGCAGACTCGTTCAATGCAATTAATGGAAAAATGGATATAATATACGACGATATTATGAAAACGAACATGGACAGTCTGTTCCCGATGGAGAAAAAAAGGAATTGGAACGATAAATGTCCAGATATTTTTCTCATAGGTAATTTACCGTTCAGTATATCGACGCATCTCATAATTGAGTGGTTACACGCCATAGCCGAACAACGCGGGCCTTGGGCATTCGGCAGAACGAGAATGACATTGACATTTCAAAAGGAGGTAGCGGAACGTTTAGTAGCACGAGAAATGGACCAACAGCGATGCAGATTGTCGGTAATGGCACAGACTTGGACATTTCCAATACTTCGTTTTATTATACCTGGTAATCGAACAATTTGTGTACTTTATTTTGTTATATAAATTTGTTATACAAATCATTTACATTTCAATTTATGACTTACAGCTAAAGCTTTTGTTCCAAAACCAGAAGTTGATGTGGGAGTAGTGTCATTTACGCCATTAGTCAATCCACGCACGCAACACGATTTTAAATTCTTTGAAAAGATAACGAGGCACATATTCAGCTTTAGACAGAAATACAACATACGATGTATCGAGTAAGTCCATTCACTTTCTGATTTACTCATCATAATAATAAATGAAATGATAGATGAATTTTTTGTCATTTTTTACAGAACTTTATTTCCGAAAGAATATCGTAAAGATTTGGCTTTGATGATGTTTAAATTGGCTGACTTGGATCCAACGATTAGGGCGATGCAACTTACTGTGACAGATATTGATAGGCTAGCGTCTGCTTACAAATATCTGCTAGAGAAACATCCAGAGCTCGAGTTGTATAATTATCGTGCGTCTAAGCATTTGTTACCACTAAAAAACACGAAAGATGTTGTAGTGGAGGATTATACAGAGATGATGGAAGAACCAAATACCCAATCAGAGCAGTTTACACTTTAAAACATACATAAGTCAAATTTCACTTTTATTAAATCGCAGATTGTAATGCAGCAAATTAATTCGTTACAATGAATTTCAGTTAGAACTGTCTGAGGAGGTTTGTAAATATACATTTATATACATACACAGTATGGCTTAATTCTTAAATAAAAATATAGTACAATGTACAATTTGTGTTTTGCTTGTGTTAGATGTAATAAGAATACTGTTAATTATCTGGAGAAAGAAAATAATTGAAGGAATGAGAAATAAGTATATTCTTAATTTTATAATTCTCGATGTTTATACGGGACGTATACAACACCCTGTATCCTTGACGCTGCTAATTCACGCGAATTCTTCGATATTATTAATCTGTAAAAACCCTATGACCTTGGATAAAATCTACCTTATTAATATTATTTTCGCACGAAGCGATACTGGTAAGAAGAATCGCAGATGGAAAATAAGACAAAATATTTTAACATTCGTAAACAATCTGCGAAAAGAAAACGATACCCAATACACCGGTCAATATCACAGCTACTCGTCATCTTTTTTTGAAGGGTTTAAAATTATTAATATTAAATAGTCCTATGTATATGTATATGCAAACATATATTATATATGCATACTTAAAATTAGTCATTAGGAATCGATGGAATTATGCGCGACTCTTTGACGCCACGTAGCATTTTATTTTACAGTGACGTAGGAAACTAAAGTCTCTGCAACGTACTGTAACAACCGAACACAGGTGGTTATACCTCAAATTCGGTAAGAACTAGATTTTCATATCGCTCGCCGACAACCAACGTGTTAACAAGCTGAGGAAATCCTTTGGTCCAGCGTTCTCTCTCCGCAATAAATCATTACTAATTCATTTGGAGATCATGTACATGAATTTACATGCGTAATCGCTTAGACTTTCGCGCTAATTAAGAATCTTCAGTGTAGTTTGAGAATATATTAAATACGATAAATGCGATAACGTCGCGTTACGCATGTGCCTATTACGTCTAAGCTTTTATTAGTTTCTCGCTACACCGCAGATCATGATGTTAGGTAAGGCCCCTCGACGTTTACGCCAAGCACCAAGGGACTGTGCGTGAGCCTGCAACGTTCTGCACCACCTTTTCGTTCTCGCGCCATCCTCTGCCTATAAATCAGATTACCATTTATTCCTACAAATGCCGATCATTTTCTCCACAAGTAAAACCTATTATAAAACCTCTTAATTTATATTTAGAAAAAAATTAACTTAATATCTTACCTTAAATATAAACGTTTCTTTAGAAGATAATTCTTGTATTTCGAAATAATCTTCGAGATCCGTTTCGCAACATACTATGCATTTATCGAGGTATAGTGGCTCCTGAAAGGACGATGATAAAGAAAATAAATTCGCATAATTAATATCATTGAAGGACGATAAGAAAATTATAATGTAAAATGTAATATAATAACTTACTCGTAGTAAAGAATACCGGCCAAGTTTCTCTTTGACCAAAAGTAGGGTAGCTTCCTTGATGCCTATATGCTTTGGAAAGAGCGAGTCGTCATTAAATTCAGGATACTCAGCATTTGGCTAAAAATATAAATTCCATTTATATTTTCGCACAAAATTATGTTTTACTAAATATATTTAAACACATAAATATTTACCTTGCCGTTTGTGACAAGCATGGCAGTGATAGGTGAGAGTTTGACAGTTCGACCGCGTCTCCAATTATTATCAGTTGGCTGCGCTACCAGAAGACGTCCTTCGAGGACAAATCTAGCTTCTTCATGTGCCCATTCCAAGATTTCGACGGCCATCTAATCAAAATTTTATATATATTAAGAGATAAATAATTAATATTTTACAATTAAATAAATATAAGATAGAATACATAATATTTAATTACATACCTTTCTGAGCTTGATATTCACCATATCCTGCTCGCCAATGGACCGTCTGCCATTTTGAATAATCGATATTCTCCTCCACAATTTCGTCGATGTAACATCCTTCGCCTCCTATTTATTAAATATATATTTATTTTCAGTTTTACATTATATTTTTGTATAATATAATATACTGACAGCATTCATGTGTTCCAAATGTAACTCGATGTTTGTTTGAGCCTGTTTCAGTCTCTTTTTCGCTTCTTGAACATCAGGCCGAACAGAGGGTGTCGCTTTGAGCAAACGTGCCAGAAGCAAAGGATATTTCGTAACTCTTTGGACAGGAACCTAAAAAATAATGATACATGAAATTATAAATATACGATTAAATAATAATACATAAATTGTAAATGTATTCTTTATTTTAAGTCAGAAATTAGATCAAAAAGTTCGACAATGTTACCATTAAAAAGGAATTCAGATTCATCCTTCGCAAGACTGTGTTCTCCATTTGAGAAACTCGAAGAAAGATACGAAGAAGCTCCTTTTCTTTCTCCAAATTTTGCAATAGTAAACTGGCACCACCTTGACGCGTGCAATAGCTCTCGAAGGCATGGAGCATCCTTTCTGATTCGAGGAAAATCTTGCCCACATCTACCGTCAAGAGATCCTCGTCCCCGGATTCCTACGCAATTGAAACAGTCAGAATATAAATTTCTGAATATGCAATAGAAAAAAAAAATATCGAAATTGATATTCCTCGCGTGAGTTTTTTACCTGGGCGAATTCTACGTTGTCCTTCAGTTTCTCGGCTAGAACGAGATTGTGCTCGAGCAACTCCTCGACGTTCAGGAAAATCGCCGACAGCTGTTCCGACGTCAGAAGGCCCGCTCTCAGCATCGGTCGATGGAACTCCTCGAGTATGATCTGTAGATCTCTGCCGTATTTTTGCTCGGTTTCCACAATCTCCGTGATGATCTCTTTCCGTTCTGCGCGCTTCTTCGAACACTTCCTGCACACGAAAGGCGCGTAAACCACACCGCTGAAAAAAAAAAAAAAATAGCCGGAATAGAGATATGCGCGCGACGACGCGATAACGACGGACGTTTTATATATAAAACAAAATTGCTACAAAGAGCTTCTCGAATTGGTTGATATCGGATGAAAACGAAATCCGCGATCGAGTCCACAAAACTCGCGAGCTGGCAATCGCGCGGCATTACGGAATTTGTATGTATAATCTATCGCGGATGAAAGTCACCGTCGCAACTTGCCATGACGCATATTGCATTATCCATTCATCAAGCGTCGACTGCGTTCTTCGATAACGACACTTTCGCTCTCGGGCAAACAAAATCGATCGCGGGAGAAAGTGGCCCATCACCTGCTGCGCCGCGCTTACATCGTAATCTAATCCCGCAAATTCAATTTGTTTTATCAAAGACAATATCGAGATACCGGTGCAGAGGAGAACTGTTAATTGATCAGAGAGTTCCGCATTTCCGGAAATCGACGTAATAGAGAAAGAAGACATTTCCCGATTGATTTCTCACGAGAGGGTCAGGATGGATCGCTATGACGGTCGCAGGTGGCTGCGAAAAGTCCGCGACCGTAACGAAACGCCGATTCGTTCCTCGATTCGCGGAATTACCCCTGGGAGGCCGGAACGCAAAACGGCACTTTGTTCGTGGATTTATAGTTCAGAGGCGAATCGAGCGAATCCCGCGCGGAATTCGCAGCACACCGAATCTCTCACGGTCGAAACTCGGCCGCAGCCGTGGAGGATACGCTCTGGCTGGAGGACTACGGACCGTTATATCCTCTCTCTCCGGATCATCGAGCGCTATCCGCGAACCGCGGATAGGAGTGATAACAGCGTGCGATTTAGAACGTTGGGATGCATCGAGAAGAACGAGTTATGAGCAAATGTCTTATGCGTTTGCGTTCATTTTGCGCGTCATCCGGCGTCACTCGCAAACGGGACGTAAAGACGCGAGGCTGAAGCGCGAGAGCGGCATTATCTGTCAAGATATATCGAGACGGTATCTGTCGCACCGGATGTCGAATACATGAAAATTATAATGGTCGCGATTTCCGATGTCAAGTCTCCCACAGGAACGCTCACCTGTCTGTTATCAGAGGATCCAACCGCTGCTCGCAATCCTCGCACAGCTTCGTCGCCCCGGAAATCACTTGCGGTATTCCACCGAGGAGACTCCCCGGGCCGGAGGAGATGTTGCCTGTCCTCCAGCGTCTCGCGACACAGCGAGTGCTACTGGCTTGACTGCTTTCAGACCCGACCCCGCTGTCGGTCCTCTCTATGTCGACCGTTCTCGACTGCGAAAACGATAAGAAGATTCCGATTAGAGACCCACCTGAGACTCAAGGAGCGCGGCACGCCTATCTCATCTCCGAGATTTCCGAGAAAAATAATCTACTCGAAATCTCACCCGCCGATCGAACTCACCTTCAATGCCTCCGGTGAGCTGGTCAAGATGATGTTGCATTCCTCGCTGCTGTCGGACACGTTGGAGATCTGCGAACTCTTGGAGCTGAGATCACCCAGGCTGGTTTCCTTCTGCTCGTACAGAGCCTCCAAGTCCCCCTCGGCGTCATCCTCCTCATCCTCGTCCTCGTCCTCGTCCTCCTCGGCGGGACGCGCGCGATCTTTGGAATCCATTAAAAAACTCAACAACTCGAACTTGGTGGAGATGTTATTTTCGTCCTCGGGCGACGTTGACATTTTCTTGAAGAAGTCCTCGGGGCTCTTGGACAAGTAGGTCTCGGCCAGATCCTCCGAATTGGACTTCTTGAAGACTTCCTCGGACAAATAGGGACCGAGAAACTGGCCCGGCGTGACCTTCTTGTAATATTCGACGTCGCCGAAGTAGATTCTGTCCTTGATGTAATCCTCCGTGGGTGGCGGACTGAGAGGTAATGGCGGCGGCTCGTCGGGTATCTCCTCGTAGATCGGTTCCTTGATCACTTCATAAGGATTCTCCTCGAGAAAGAGATTCGTCGAAATAAAATCGCCATCCGAGTTCAAGCTAGACGAACGCGAGTAATTTGCCTCCAGAGTAGACTCGGAACTTTCGTATTCTTTGCTTTTCAACAGGCTCTGCTTTAGGATCTTCAGGATGGCCTGACCGCTGTCTTCGTCCAGGATTTCACCGTTCTCGCGAGCCTTTCGTAAGGAATCTTCAAGCAGCTTTGAGATCAGAGCTTCTTTGGACAAGCCGGACAGTTTGGAGGAAGAACCTTCGACATCCTTCAACCGTGTCTTGGACTCCGACCGCGTCGTTTTTTCATCCGATGCGTAAAACTTCGAAGACTGATTACAATTAGAAGGTTTAATCTCCACGCTCAGCCCCTTCTGTTTCTCAAGGTTCATTGCCGGTTGTTCTACGTGTTGACATGACGAGGAAGTCTCTTCGCCGGGCGATGTTGGCGCTTCGCCGTTCATCTTCAGATTCATCTCGCCATTCTCGGCGACGTGATTATCCTTCCCGATTATCTGCTTGGAGCGCGAATCGTCGCTCGCCGATTCGACTACGATGTTCGATTTGTAATTTTGAAGTATCACCAGAGTACGATTCTCCACGGGGTTCTGGACCTTCGGCGGATTCTCCGAGTTCACGGAGATCACCGTCGGATTGCACATGCTATCTTCTCCGCCGACGCTGATAGTCACCTTGTTACCCGGAGTCGGCTCCACGTTTGTACTTTGATCGCCGTTGATCAGGATGGACGTTCTTCCGGCGCCTTTCGGGCCGGAGTCCGGGCCGATCTGTAGCCGATGTACCAGCGGCGACGAGCGCGGACTCACCGTGATCTTGCAGACGTTGCTCTCGGGCGAGTTGATCTCGATCTTGGAGGATCCGTAGGAGCTCGTCGAGTTCCACGAGGCCGTCGACGCCGAGGAGATCGTACGCCGATGGTCCTTGATCGAATTGGCGGGACTCTCGTCGAGATCCGTGCCGGAGTCGCCGATCTTGAAGCGATGCCTTTGCCTACCGGGCGGCGGGGACCAGCTCGTTGGTCTCATCGTACAAAAATGTTCGTTGCTCGCGTCGGAAATATCACTGCGCGCGTCTGGCGATGGTTCGGCCTCTTTCTCAGCGTTATCGGCAGCCTTCTCGAGAGCCTCTTCAACGTTCTTGCTAGCCTCGACCTCGCGATCGGACTCCTCAAGCTCGCCCGAGACGCCCCTTTCTTCCTCGATCTCCTTCATCTCGGCATTTCTTCCCGACGAATTTTTCTCACCGGCTTCTTCGCGCGAAATTACGCACGTGGGCGTACCGACGGACGGCGATGACTCCTTGATCTTCTTACTAAGACTGAGTCGCATTGTGTCCGAGAACAGGACGTTACCCGCCGAGATCTCCGGCTTGTTGAATGACCGATCGCTTTGACTTCGCATCAAGAAGGATTTTCTCGAGTTCTCTGCAACGATCGAAAAGGAATTAACCGATAATTAAAAAAACAACAATTGGAAATTTTAATTTTATAGCGCTTGAATAAATTTGTATGTCTCTTAATAATTATATTTAAATATGTATTATATAAACTATGTAATATTAAAAACAAAATAATATGTAACACTTTTCCTCTTTAGGTTCATTTGCAAAAAATATTAAATTATCCCCTCTTGTAAGATAAATATTTTAATAACGCAATTATTATATTCATAATAACAAATCGAGTATCATTCGATTGCGAAAAGCTGTACAGTTGATACCATTTCAAATAAATAACATTTTTTTATCTGATAGATTTTTATAAAATTTATTTTATTTTAAAAATTTATTTTCATTTAAAAAATTTAATAAAAAATTCATTAACCAAATTCTCTCTTTCTCTAACGCATTACGTTTAGAATAATTCTGTGATTTCCAAATTCAAAATTATAAAAGAACAAACAATATGTCATTTTACATTTAAGACTCGAAATTTTTTTCAGCTTTTTTTAAATATTTTCTATAAAAAAATAATAAAAAAAGTGTCTCTTCCCTTTGTAAAGCGAGAATTTCCGCTCGGCTCACGGATTTATAAAGAATGTCTGCAACGTTCAAATCCCCCGGAAGGAAAACCGCAGATGCGAAGCATGAAACTAGAATTTGATACCCGTGAAAAGTACGCTCGGCAATTTAATACCAAAATTTACGCGTGTTTGAGAAAGTTTGCGCTATTTCTTAGTAGATTTATGGCGATATCGCCACCTCATAATAATATATAATTGTATTCGCAGAAAGAAAATACAGAAAATTCAACTTATTCTTTTTAGTAATACAATCGCATTATACATTCCAAATAAAAAGCAAAAAATTCTAATGTAATCAACGTGTGAATGTGTTTGTATTCGTAGCCATTCCAAATAGTTGTCAATTAGAATGTATTGTCTTTCATTACATGCATCTACTTCAAATTGAAGTTTGAAAAAAAACATATCTTTTATTTGTAGAACTGAAACCTTCAAGACTCATATTTGAATTTATAATGACTATATGCGAATGTTAAAGAAAATCGATTTGCTCATCAAATATTATCGAAGGAGAGATAAATCCTCTTTGACTTTTCAAGACATTCAAGTACAATTCGTTTGTTATGCCGTAACGCAACGATCTCAGCGCAAGATTAATAATAAAAGTCTTCTTCGATGTCTTCTTTACGATACGCGTCTCTAACGATTGGTGAAAGTGCACCAATCTTTGATGGCTCGCGAATAAACGAGCTTGGAATTTCTCGCCGCGAGAAAAGTCAACGGTTTTTCCACGGCTGCTCCACTTTATGCCGCCGTCAGGAATTTCTGAGACGCGTGCGATTATCCGGCCGCAAAAGCGATTGCGCAAATCAACGATCCGCCTCGTTTATGGCTTTATGGCTTGGATCAATCTCACGCACGCGAAAGAAAAGATGAGCTGCCGCCGTCGTTGCGAGGTTTTGCGAAACTGGGCATTGTGCCATAGCGGCTGACGAGCCTTCTTCGTGTGAATTTAACTATGTTGACCATTAGCATGATGCCAGCGCAGACGCACTATAAAATGCATTCACAGATAATAAATGTACCCTCGTCTGATTCTTTATTTATCATATAATTCAGAATTTTGTAATGACATTTTACGCCTATGAATGTATAATTATGATAACTGCTTGATACTTTGATTGAAAAAGTTAATGCCTAATAAAAGTCTAGCATTAACACAGATTAAAATTACACACAATTATTTATAATTCTAGTTAATGGTCGCCATTGAAAAACACGAAAAAAGGCTAATTTGCGCGTGCTTTCCTCGAGTTTCAAGCAATTATCCAGCAAATAAGGTAGTTGCGAAAAAAACCATTTTCTATTCACGTAGGAAAATCACGCATAGAAAATGTAAACAATGGATTAAGAAAAAAGTCAGAAGTAGTCAGAGAGAGAGAGAGAGAGAGAGAGAGAGAGAGAGAGAACGCGCACTTGAAAGAACGTTCCAAGGAACGAGCCGCTCTTCTGCGAAAGAAAAGCACGAGCTGATGAAGGACGAGGTTCCTCGTTCGCGCGAGGATTTACGCCATCGCGTGATGAAAATGAACGAAGAAGACCGCTGATGATGTACGGACCGCTACGGTGAATCGTTACGGTGTGAAAAAGGGTTATCGAGCCACGCTGCCGAGCGCGCCGCCACGTCGTCGTCGTCGTCGTCGTCGTCGGTGTGAAGGAGTGAAAACGTGAGAGATCTCTAAAAAGCATATAATTACACGGTTCTGGACCATGCGCGCGCGTATCAAGGGAACGAACCGATGATTTATGAGGCCCGTGGGTAAACAACGACGGTGCGAAAGAGTCAAGGTTCCCCACGAGGTGCTCGATCAGGTGCATCCATTACAGGCGCAGCACGTGGCTGGCGCGGTGTATGCTCATGCATGATCGATAGCACCTCTGAAATCCGTCGAATACCCATCGGAAAAATCTTCTTCACGCACCCAATATTCTTCACTTGCATTTTATCCTTTCATTCTTTTTTCTCCTGTGTACTCGAAAGCCTGTACAGAAGGTGCGCACGCTGCGCGTACTAAATAAATGTTGAAATATTTTAGATTTTATATATATGATTTGTGCTACTCTATAATATTTTTTTTCAAATTCATAATTCTATATGAAAAAAATCATCGGGATTACAGTCCAAGTTGTTAATTAATAGTAAAAAGGCAAATGTAAAAATTTTTAATCGGCATATATTCAAAGATGATCCGAATAACACTAATAGAGAAGCCTCGATTTAATTACGGGGAAATTGGTGGCAGTTATTTATTACTTTTATTACTTTTCAAAGTGGAAAGAGCGTGGCGAAAGCAATCCCGTGTAAATCATCGTCATTGAGTTATTATATTACTACTAAATTATCATACGCGCAATACAGAATGTGAAACTGAACTAAAAGAATCCGCGATATGCATCACGCGCTTGCATGAAGATCTGTGTGTCCGCGCGGGGAGGAGAAACGAGCATAAAAAGATTTCGTGCTTGGGAAAAGAAATCGGCGTTTAGATTTTATAATTCGAACGCGCCGAGCTCGCTCGTGCCTGAGCTTAGAAAGTAGACTGGAAGTGACTAATTAAAACGCGCCATGAAGGAAGAACAAAGATAGACTATACGAAGCAATGAATGGGGATATTCTGTCTTTAGACTCTACTAAGAATATTATATCTGCCGGATATTAATATTCATTCTAAGAAAAAAAAAAAAAAAGAGAAAAAAGAAAAAACCAAATAATCCTACATTTGATCGCTGTCTCTTTTCCATGATTTCAAATTCTAAATTTCGAAAGTTTAGAATTCGAAAGATTTAATATTTTTATAATTTGCACCTCTCAAATAGTGAACGATTATGTCACTATAATTATAATTGGTGATATAATCGAGTTTTATTTTTAAAAGAAATACGCTCAATGATTTCCTTCGTTGAACAGATTATTTCTATTAACGTATGGAATAACGATAAATAACAAGGCGGATGCAATAAATGTGTGAAGAGGAGAGAAAACTCCGGTTGCGCCTACGAGGCGTCTATCTCGGGTCCCGTGTCGTTCGCTCGCCTGCAGTTATCTAACGCCGCTCTTGTCGCACAGTGCGTTTACACCGGAAACACGATCACCGGAAGTCATCGTAGGCGATCTGTTCTATTCTCCGTTACACGCACCGTCGTGGACGATAAAAGTTTTCACTAACATATTTTACAAACAGTCATCGAGGATCAAAAACACAAAATATAAACAAATAAATATGCAAAAACATGGTCGCACGTTAGCAGTTGTCTTTGCAAATAATATTTTCCTTTGAATAATATTCCTTTTTCATAAAGGAATAAGTTACATACTAATATTTGAGAAGAAAGTTGAATTATATAAACTCCCTAATTATAAAAAATTTATTTTTTATTTAATTTAACAAAATTTAAAAAAATTTAATTTACGAGTGATCAAAAGGAACGGATTGTCAGAGAAGCGAGACAGAGAAGCGGAAACAAGCTCGTAAAGTCATCTTTATGCATTTAATATCCATTTAATAAGATTATTCGAACGTTGTTGCAGCTGAAGAAGATGTTTAGTTAATCGGGATCAACAGCCGACATTTATGCAACGGGGCTTTAATCTCATTCTAAGGCATAAATGACTCTCAACGTCTCTCTGAGAGAAACTGTCAGCTATCCCGACGCGAACTTTACTGCCGTGCTCGATTATTGAAGCATAACTGCTGATCTACATGTTAACTCGCCTCGATCAGTCGACGTATCGCGAGCAAATACATCGGACTCCGAAAACAGCATGATCGACATAATCGTTACCTAGCATCGTACAATTACAATCGCATCGTAATACGTACAATCCTTCATTCCACCACCACCATTGCAACCAAAACTGTTGTAGCTGTTGAAAACGTGACTTATGACAACGCGGTCGAAGACCGCGCGCGGAATATCAATTAATCGCGATACTAATTAATATGACGTACGCAAAGAGTCGCGCGGCGATCGTTAATGCACGCACGTTTCTATTAATAGAACGTATTCACGTAACTCTCATTTTTTTCCTCTCGTCGAAACCGAGCACTCAAACGAGCCGCGTACAAATCGGTCGGCGCGGCACATTTCAGCGCTCCGATGTTACTGCCAATCATCCAAGTTAATTCGCGCGACTTTTTCCCGTCACGTCTTATCTCGCGTCCGCATGCAGACTCAATTTGCACGGCGAGCTCTACATTCTCGAATCCACTCGTCACGTCGTAAATGTCAGACCTGGTTCCGCAGCCCTTTTCGAGAGGAGATCTAATTACGTGAAATAGCAACGTGGAAATTCAGAAGAGACCCACCAAGTGAGTTTGAGTACGTACGTGTGTACGAGTGGCAAATTTTTCTTTTTTCTAGGAAAAAAAAAGCGGAAAATAAATGTAAATTTTGCTTTTCACATTTAGCGCCGAATCCAATTGTCTGTCAACAAATTTTTTTCAAAAACGATCCGAACGATGCGTCACGTTCGATATAATCTTGATGGGATAACAAATTAGAATCTGTCTTAAAACAGCGAAAGGAATTGCCGATGGAAATTATTTCATTACTTAGTCGGAAGCCACTAAACTTTCACAAAATTATATTTTCATTTCGCGGAGCTAACTTCCGCGGCTCCGGATATCGCGATAGCCTCGCGAATCGGCGCTACGTGATGCGCTTTGTTGTCGGAAGAACGTTTTACAAGTGCACTCGATGCGATCAGCGAGATCGTTTATTTATACCGGGAAATATACCGGGCGCGTTTCCCATTGTCTTAAAAAATAGACGACGGGGTCGAGCGGGATCGTCCTGCTAAATTAGTATGTAACTATTCCTTCTTCTCTCTCTCTCTCTCTCTCTCTCTCTCCCTCCTCTCTCTCTCTCTCTCTCTCTCTCGAGGCGTTTACTGTACGCCGCCACCGATAAATATGTACGTGTCGTTCCATATAAGGCGGACAACCGCCGTTCACATTGTCCCCGATCGTTTCGTATCTTTCCCACGCGTCCACTTTCGCGGCCTTTTCTCTTTCTCTCTCTTTCATCACGAATGCTCGGAAAATGTGAGCCCACGGCATAATGCCGTCGTGGAATATTGTTTGCTTCGTGATAAATATGTCGTGGCATTCTTTGTTATAGAAGAATTTATAAGAATATATATTCTTCTATGGTAACTATTATAAATCTTTTAATATCCTCGAGAGAGACCTAAAAGAGGTAATTTTATATCACTATTATGACGAAAAGTGTGTTATGTTTTCTTGTAAAAAGAATATCGGTTGTTACCAGTTGCGAGAGAGAAATTAAAAATAAATTAACATAAATTTTACAACCAATTAATGATTATTTGCTTACTACGAGTTTTAAAGTAGTGCATTCTATGCAAAAGAAGTATCTTTTTTTTTTTAAATATATACCGCTATCAGGATGTCCCTCTCGAGTAAGTAACAATTTGTCAACATATGCCGGCTATCCCTGACCTTATACACTTTCGAATACTCCAGACGGCAACTCACGAGGTTCTTTTAGGCGAAACTCTTTTAGGCGAGATTCTTTAAGAACGAGTCAAACGACTCGAGGATAAGACTCAGGGTCGTCAGGATCTGCTAACCTTTCTCCTCTTGTCATCGACAAAGCCGTCTTAAGGACGGTCCGGTTATCCGCACATTTCAGCCGCGCCTTTCAGCCGCGTATTCAGCATTAATTCGCTTTCCATGTTAACTTGCCAAACTTTGCATGCAAACATTTATGTAACTAACGGGAGCGACCATTATCTACGCGAAGGGAGAAAAATCGCCGTATTCATTACACGCACTCATATCAAAAAAATTCACTGATCTTTAAAACCGCTGAGATCAAAGCTACTACACTGTTAGGAAAAGCGTGCTCGAGCCGTTATCCTTGAACGCGTAATTTTTTTTGAAAGTTCAGGGATAGCCTGATAAGTCGTGTCAACCACAACGGTCCATTAATCATGCGCATTAACATAATGGCCAGAGGAGAGAAGGATCGCGATCGACGATAACACGATAAGCACTGATGAACCGACGCGAGATTATCGATCCGCGATGGACGAAGATTCCTATCCGCGATATGAAAAGTGTAGCCGCGCTATACTTTTAGGCCGCTAATTTCCGCGTGTGAGATTAACCCTTTGACGACCATAATGTGTATCGCCCTCGGGGCAAAACTGTCCCCTTCGATGATTATAAACTGACGCGGTTATCACCGCGGAGAAATTGATCATTAATTTGCTTCTATATTATTAATAGCCACTAATACGGGCCTGAGATAACAGTCACGTTATTATAAAAATCTGACACTGATATTTCTAGAAATGGATTATATGTCCAGGAACATCACCGTGAAACGTTTAACGTTAATATCATCTTGCGCGTAGTATCAGAAAATTATAGCTAGTACGTGGAAACAAATAAAAGACAACGTAAGATCAAGCAACTGAATATGGTTATCCACGATAAAAATAAAATACAGGTTTGACGTATTACGTATTCTTATAAAACGAGTATAGCACAAAAGTTATGAATTATGACATGGATAAATAATTTATGACATACTTCATCACATGTCAAATAACGAAGTATGAAAAAGATCGAAGTACCAAAAAGATAAAACAGAATAAATATAAAAACTATATTTTAATGTCTTCTTCTTTCTCAAAATAGACGTACGATTATTTTTTTCAAATACTCGTTACGATAAGTTATACATTTTTTATATAAATTTCTAATAGATAGATATTTATTGGCCGAGAAGGAACGCATTAGTTCTTAATAAAATTTTTTTCTTAATAAAATTTTACACATAGAGCGATAAAATTATATTAACAAAAATCAATCTGGATTTAACTGAGACGTAATTTAATAAGTTGATTAAGATTGTAATTAAGACTTTTATAATAGTTCGAGAGAATCTTACCTTCGGACTTCAGAATCAGATCCTTCTCGTCCACGGCGATACACGGCAGACGATCCTTCAGTTCCTCGATCTCGATCTCCAGCTCGGTCTCATCCTCAGGCCTGACGATTCTCTCATCCGACAATCTCCTCTCCTCCTGTAATATCCTCTCCTCTTCTCTGGGAATTCCGATCCTCGGGGAGGATAGCGAGCTGTCGAGTGAGGATCGTGGCTCGTTACCGATCTTGTCTCGCTTCTTGGACGCGGCGGAACGATCGAACTTCCTGGACGGAACGAACTTGTCTATCTTGATCCTGTCGGGACCGGGCGGCGCGGTCTTCTTCACTTCCGGCACGATTCTCGGCTCCTTGTACTTGACCCTGTCCACCTTCGGGTCCCTGATGTTCGGGATCGTGATGAAGTTGTGTTTTTCCTGCTGCTCCTGCGGCACGATCGGTGCCTCTTCCTCGGGTTCGGGGATGTTGTCCCGCTGCTCCTTGCCGCAATTGGCGACTCTGCCGACTCTGCTCCACGAGAGTCGCGTCGCCTCGGACGGCTTCTCCGGCGCGAATATCACGTTGTCGACGTTGAAGAGCACGTTCTTCCTCTTGCTCTCGATCACTCGGCCGCGCTTCAGGATGCTCTTCAACGTCTGCCGGGCCTCCTTCAATCGTCTCGGTGGTCTTTTTGGCGATACCTTCGGTATCGGGATTCTTGTGACCGGCAGTGGCACGTCATCGTCGTCGTCGTCGTCGTCGTCGTCCGATATCTCTCTAGGCCTCTCGTTGAACACTCTGATACGTTGACCGCCGATCGCCGCCACGGCACTCCTGTTCGGTATCCTCTCGATCGATTTCACTTTCGACGGATCGAACGAACTGGACGTGGATCGTGTTCTAAGATCGTCCTGCTCCAGCGCGTTGTCCGACAGATCGTCGCTCAGATCGTCCTCGTCCTTCTGCTTCTTCAGCAACAGATACGGATTCACGTCGCACTCGAGGATACTCTTCCGCGAATCCGTGGCGATCGCTGTCCCGTTCTTCCAATCGTCCTGGCCGGTTCTCTTCTGATTCGCCTCCCTCAGCGGCGGCTTCTTCGAAATGCGGGTCAGCCTCGTGGATGCCGTCGCGGCGGAATGAGTTCGCGAATGACTCTCCGGAGTCTCGTCCAGCATCCAATCATCCGAGGACGCGCCGCCGGTGAAACCGGGTCGCGATTTGCGATCGTCGTAGCTCATAGCCGCGCTCGGCTCCTTGTCGAACCACTCGGATCTCGACGACGATAATGACGTTCCCTCGGCCGACGAGCCCTTCCGCTCCTTCGTGGCCGCCCGCGAAACCATGCTCTGACTCCTGGAGTCTCGCTGCGAGGACGGCCGATGCGGCGAGATGCTGCGCGCCCGCGATCTCGGCTCCACCAGCCGGTTCCGTCGCATCTGGTCGTACGGATCATCGATAGCGGTCCTCAGCACGCCTAACAAATAGATTTAACCGTTGTACTCGAGAGATGAGATCGTCGCGAGACCACTTCGAGTCGAGTCGTTACGCCGACCTAGATTTCCCAGAATCGAATGCGAATAATGAAATTTCTGATGACTTCTGATAATCTCGGTTTTTAATATGGATACCGAAGAATTTGCACTTTCTGAAAGTGTCTATTTTGGAATCCAAGCATCCTTCTTTTGAGATTTAGCACGCACGTTACATATATACAAACTGTTAATGGACTTTCATATTTACTCGTTAATAATAAAGAAAGTATATCTTATTTGTTATAATCCAAAAAATAACTTATTTCAAAAATAAGACTCAGAAAGAAATAAAAAGTATATTATATGCTATTATATGTAATGTACATTAATGTATATTAAATTTTTAAACTATTTATTATTGTTTTTATTTTTATCAAGACCAATGAAAAATGTAATATAAAACTGTAAATGCAAATAATCGAATAATAGATTTATATATTTCCATTTTACATAATAGTTCAATATACGAAGCAATTTCTAGCAGAAAAAATTATCATTGCGGAAATTGTTCGAGCGTAAAGTATCAATTGTCTTAATCGAAAAATCACTGCTCTACATTTCTACTCGCGATTGGCCAAGCCTCGTTTGTAGCACGCCTGTCAAAGCGTCGCTTAGCAAACAAAAAGATATGATCTAGTCCAAAACGATTTAAATGCAAACTAAAGTAGGTATACGAGAGCATCGCCAGTGAGTAAATTCAGTTATCTAGCCCGCGGCCGAGAACTTTCTGCGCTCCGCCGCGTATGCACGCTATCTCGAACGCGAGCAAGGAGAAAATTTCTAATACGAAGAGCGCAATACAATTAGAGCATGAACGTCATCGTCGGTGTCACGATAGGCAGAAGCTCTTACATCGCCCGCCCTCGCTTATCTTATGAGCTCGGAGCATCGAACACCCTCGATACTTCGTAACACGCAGCGGGAGGTTCCACTCCATGGGTATGGATATTTTTTCTCTGCCTGCTATCGCGCGACATGAAATAGTGTGCTATCCTTCATATCCATAATAATATCGGAGAGATTTCCTTTGCAAAATATATCGAGATTAAGAAGAAGCATCGCTGTGAAATAAATAACTAAGAGTATAAATTATTCCAGAGAAAAAACTACCGCGACTACCGCGTGATTTCCGCCGGCCTCCCAGCGAGACACCCAAGGAAAATGCGAAATAAAATTCAAGATAAGCGAAAAGGAGCGATTTACTTACCGGCGAGGCTCGGTCGGGATCTCGAGGACGGCGGCAGCCGGCAGGTTCCTCCGAGGGGCAGACCGGCCACCCGGTGGCCGCCACACTTGCGGCAGCTGCCGAGCTTTCTGACGGTGCCGGCGAGGAACTCCGGACAGGAACATACCACGAGCAACGGCGCCGCTCCCGGCGGCGGCGGCGGCGGCGGCGGTGTCAGGAAAGGTCGCGGTGGGTCGTGTCCGGCAGACCGCGACGATCGGACCGTGCCGTACAGCCACGGATCGCCGCTGTAGATCATCTGGCGAGAGAGCACGCTGCCGCCGCTTATGGTGCCCCAGCCACCCTTACCGGGGTCATCCCCGTGGTTCTGATGCTGCCGCGACAGACCCAGCCGCACGCTCCATGATTTCTTGCCCTTGCTCAGGGTATCATAGCTCTGCGATCAGTCAAGGGAGAAAGGCAATTGAGTGAAGATGATAAATGAAGGGTCGGGTCGACGAGGGAACATCGATCATATTTATAATATTTATCGTATTAAAAATATCATCCCCCTTTCTTTCTCTCTCTCTTTCTCTCTTGTAACACCTGAGGAATATCGATTTTGTGATAATTACAATTACAGCTATCTATAATATGCGCGAGCTGATTACTTCCTCTTCTACTTTTTCTTTTTCTTCAGCTATCACTTCCGCTTGTGCGTGAAATAAAAAAAATACAAATAGATTTAACGTATATGATATTCTTCATTATAAATCATAATTAATAGTTCCGAGTCTTTATTGATAAATTGATTGAATAAAATAACTGTAAATATACATATCTCTCTCAATCAATAATATTTGCTTATGAGAATTTTGTCACAACGTGAGAATTTTTCTAAATCAGGATACAATATAATTTTCCGGCGTGATAAGTGCGTGTACTTTTGATAATTGTCAATCTCTCTCGTAACTTTTTTTTATCACGGTAACAAAGTATAATCTCCACTCGTCTTTTCTAACGTGATATCGTTCGAGACACATAAATTACTTTAACTATACATTCGTTGTCACGAAACACCTAACATACTTTTTTCAACGTGATTATACTTATAGTTGCCGGACGAAATTGGAAGTCCCGCAATAAGTCCTACCGTAAGAAACGTTCGAATGTATATTCGCTACGTATGTCGTGTAATTTGCGACAGTCCTACAATAAGTGACTACTATCGGTAATTACGGATGCATCATTCTGCTGACTCTCCGATCCCGGCCCGTCGATATTGCGCGCGTATAATAACTTCCTGGATACGAGGAGAGAACACGCGACATTCTCTCCTCTGAATATAACCAGACTTACATTCATCCAAGTACAAAACAGAGAAACCATTGTTGCCTCTGTCATTGTGTCCCGGCCATCATTCTTCTCGTCCTCCAGCTGTTTACCAAAGGCATACAGGTTACCTCGGCGTGCATACGACATTCGGTATTCACGCCCGGAGAAACGAAATTTGAAAGAAACGAATTTCCGATATCACTGGGAACTGAACAACCTGTACGCGTGCACGCTCGGTTCTAGGAATGTATATACATTTGCATGAAAACTTATAAAAGAAAAAAAAAAAAAAAAACTCTCCGTTATAAACTTGGTATTGAGACGCGTGTTTTTCGGATTAAATAGCATTCTATAATGATTTATGAATGGCATTAATATTTTTCAATCTTTAATGCATCCGGAAAAATTCCAGATTTAAAGAGATAATCAGCCTCAATTACAAGGCGACCTGCTTGATGTGTAATTTTTCATAGTTAAGCTCGTGATAAATTCCGTTTTTGATTTTAATAAGCAACGTGACACGCCTCATCGCGTTTTATCACGACAGGGAAAGCGAATTCTCGTCGTACATATACATTAATCTTGCTACTGCAGGAAATGTATATGGGAAAAGCAGAATAAAATGCAGATTGCACAGCCTCTCGATCCAATGTGTCATGTCCCGTCCGTGATTTTATCCGCCACGGGGAATCGTTCGACGAGAATCGATCGACGAGAATCGGTCGTCTCGATTTCCCTTTAACGGCACGTACAGCCAAGACACGCTCGATCTCTGCTCAATCTCTTCACGTTCAGAAGCCTCGCGGATCGCGAGTCCCTTCCGCAAATCGCTGCTCGTCAGCCGCATTGCGTTCTCCGAAGAAGGAAGAACGGAATGGATGTTCGCGATGCGCGAGCCTCGGTGGGCAGGCACAAAGAACCACGACGTGAAAGAAGGCACAGTAGGAAAAAACGAAGGTAGGCGAGAGGGAGAGAGCCGAAGAGAGATGGAAGGTAAAGCGCGTTTCAGGGAAAGTGAACGACGGTAGGAATCGCTCGCGATCGGCAATTTAAATTCGTTTCCCCCTTAGAGAAATCGGAGAGATAACATCGCGCACATGTCCCATGTTTGCGATGTTGAATCTTGCGAGAAAGAGAGAAAGAGATCAAACGGCGAACGCGAGAGGTTGGAATTTGTACAAGGGTATGTACAAAGGTTTGTCCCTTTATGGCAAACGAAGAATGAATGATTTACTAATGTACATGTTTAACAAAATAAGAATATGCTTGAAATACGAGTTTTACGATAAAGAAGAAGAATATGAAAAAAAATATTGTAATTCGTGCGTAAATTAAACGATATTTTTATTCTATTTTTAATATATTGGAATGTTTCCAAAAAGAATACTTTATTATTAGTTCTTTTCAGTAAAGAATTTATTTTCAGCTATGAAAAAATAAAAATAAATTTTTCTATGTTTATGAAGTGTTTACATTGTAATAATGTGTAAACTGTGTCGTCGCAAACAAACAACAATGTGACATAACGTAAGTATTTCGAGAAAAAAAGCAGAAAAGTGAAATAAAAATCATACCGACAGGAAAATCACCGAGGAGAACGACGATGAAAGCAAAATCAGAAATGGCACATCCTGAAAAAGTCAACAACCGGTCGAAATTGCTGTATGAACTTTTAAGATCACTTGCGTGGTACGAATCAAGTCCCGTTGCGTCTACCGAAAAACTACCGAGAGCGAAACATGGAGGAAAGAAAAAGGGGGAAACATTTCGAGAAAGGCGAATGTCGAGGAAGAAGTCCGGCTCGTGTCCAAGCGCATCTAAGTGCGAATGAAAAAGTCAAACGACGGGCCGGCTTAGTGAACCAAGGAAGAGGGATAAGACTTCGAGAAAGAATACACGAGGAGTACACTCGAAGAATACACTCCGGACCTATCCGATCGTCGGAGAGAACTGCCGGTGCCGTACTTCTGCAGCGCGGAATCCTTCAGGGAAACCCGCGCGTGAAAAAAATGACGGTGCACGTAGCTATGATCACGAGCGCGAGTAACAAGTTTGGTCGAAAATTGGCGCCGTCGACGATTGTCTGGTTGCAAAAATCCTCGAAGAAGAAAAAAAAAAGTTTTTCTCTCGGCGAATTGTGGGATAACACCTCGTGGGATTGCAATCCCACGCGACGGGAAAAGCACGAAGCAATTTCGCCGAGCGACGCGCCGTACCGTTACACGTTGTTCGGAATGGGATTCTGCGGATTCGCGTTCACCAAAATCGCGCGGCAATCAACGGTTAACAAAAAAGAAGATTGCCCACGACGATTAAATCGAAGTAGGTTCCCGTGGGCGAACGGGACAGCGGCGACTGACGTTACATCGGAGGATATTGTTATCTTAAAGTCTCGTGAAATTTCCTTAATCTAATTTCCATTCAATTAATCTATAATCCGTTTAGCTCGTGCTTTGCAATTATATCTCCTACCCCCCCCCCTCCCTCTCCTCCCTCCCTCCGCGCGGTTATCTCTGCGATCCACGCACTCGTAGTTTCCGCGGATAGGTTCGCTAGTGCAACATAAGAACGTATAAGTACATGAAACGAGAGCTTAACATCTTAAGAGCGGAGAGAGCGGAGCGCGTCGATTTGTTCGCAACACACGTGCTTGGAGGCCAAATCTAATCTGCAATCTGCCGGGAAGGTCTGCGCGATATGCATTCGACCTTTCTTTTTTTTTTCTTTATGCAATTGCGAAAAGCAAGCGGAAGGACGGGCAATTCATCCTGCAATTCTGCTCGCTGACGGGAAATTATTGCGCGTTTTCGAAATATATCCCTCGAGAAAAATCGTTTCTATTCTTCACATTTTTCTTATCTTGAAAATTCGTTGGAGCGATTTGAGAAAAGAAATATAAAAATTAGTGTTTTCGAAGAACATATACGATACATTTTCTATCTCACACTTGGCCATAATTTGCATTTGGCACATAGAATGGCACAATGGCAAATTCAAGTATCTTTATACACGTTTCTTAACGGTCAATTAATATTAAACATGCTCATATTATTGCTCATATTATATGAATTATTATTATGATCCAGTAATTGCAAAAATAGAAAGAAAAATCTTTTATTTATTGTCTAAAAATAGTTAAAAAAGAGTATCTTTTGTATTTCATATAATAAAATAGTAAAAAAGTATTCTTTCCGAGAATGCTTCAATAAAAATAAAATAGTGAAAGTAAGATGTATATCAGTTCATTGAAATATTTATCACAAAAACTCTAGCTCGAGTTAAGTTACATGAGTAATAAAAAGTATATCGGAACTGAGCATAACTAAGTTCAAATGTAATTAAAGCAAGCATGATTAAAACAAAATACAAAGCAGAATAAATTCGTGTAATAAAATTTTAATATGAGAAAGTTTTTTTTATAATTATTCTATTATACTACTAATCACATATGGAACCATTGTTTACTTTCTAAAAAAAAAAAAAAAAAAAAAAAGACAATGTAGATAATTGCAGGTAATAATTATTCATCAAACAATCCGATAAAAATCCCTTTTAAACGATTTATTTATGACTAAGAAATGCGATTTATTTTGCTGGACTCTTCAGCTTCAATTATTTTACGCGTTCAGAGCAACAGCTGCGGAGCAACGCATGAACGTGCAACATATGAAGCGCAGGTTTCGGAAAATGGGGCAGCCGGCTGCCTTGAGGGCGAAACTGCGAGGTGCACTTCACTTTCTCGTCCACAAGCGGGACTTTCGTAAAAATCTTGTCCCACAAGCTCGGACGTAAGACGGCCGGCCAGTCGAAAAACAGAAAGTAAACTAGTATGAGCGAGCGGCTCGTATGCAGGCGAGTACACATAGACGCGGGTCACCGTGTCTGCATACAACTCGCAGGTGCAAAGCAAAAACGGGCGTGGCTGACGAAAGCGATTTTAGATCGAATCGGGCGAGAAATTCATTTTTGTGACAGTATAGAAATGTGAACGGTACTATAATGCATATATTTAACAAGAAATTTTATCCTTAATATATTTCAGCGATTTTAGATTGAACAAGATCGAACAAGAAAATTCATTTTTGTTGTTACAATATAGAAATGTGAATGGATTTCGACAAG